CTTGCCTCTTCTTCTGTTTTCCGTAGAAGCTTCGGCTCCCTTCCGATCCGGGTCGGGTTTTTTGACAGATCCGGATGAAGCTCGGATCGTCGATGGGATGGAGCAGGAGATAATCGTAGCCATGGCAACGATAAAAGAGAGAGAGAGATGTGAAGAAGTGGGATTTTGGGAAGAAGATGAAGATGGATGAGGGTAAAAATTTAGGGTTTGAGACTATGATTTAACTGAAATGCAATTTGTTTGTACCCGAGGTCAGAGAGGGTATTTATGGAAAAAATCTACAAGCATTCATGGCGTGGTGCATGTTATTCACGTGGACGTTAGAGTAGGAGATTCTATAGCTTTAGGTGATGGATAAGGTTGAACGCGTGGACCGCGTCATGTTTGTCTCTGTCCGGTCCACTTTTCGCTTTTTTTTCTCTAGTGTTTTTTTTCGTCATAATTAATTATTTGAAGTAATTATTTTTCAATGGTATCATTTTCGTTGCATGAATTGGCTCTTTGTCATGTATACGGTCAACGTCATGGATGTACAATCGGTCCACGAGTTGGGGGGAAGAACGAGTTTATTGGTTGGTCCGTGACGAAATGGGCGAAGATTCAAACTTTTCATTTTGTAGATAGAAATATTTGTATTTGCAAGGTATAGAGAAATGTTTGAAATGTATATTGTCAAATTCATAATTGTATGTTGTGATGGTTCACGTCTGATGTATTCTAAGTGTGTTGATTTAGAGATTATTTAGGATATAAATAGTGAGAGTTTATTTTTTATTTTTTTTTAAATGAAGTTTTTAGATTTTAATTAATTATTTCGCTAAAATGTTTTCTATATTTTTAGGAAAACCAAATTTACAAAATCTTAATTATCATTTTGTTTTAATTTTAAAAACTTCAAAATATTTTCTATTAAACCTCTTAGATTTTCTGAATGTTTTTGTAAATTTTATAAATTATATAATCTTTTCGAATATTTTTTTATAAATTATATTTTTAATTGTTATCTAGAGCTTTGAAATTGCAATGGAGTTACTAATTTAGAGTACGACTGATTGCACCGCCGCTACCCGCAAACAGAGCGGTTGAGATTTCTAGCTGTTGCAGGCAATTGAAAAACTGACTGGTTGAACCGCAACCACCCGCAATCGCAGTCAAACTTATGTTTTCTAATCGCAACTTCTAACTTGCGTTTTGGTAACGGTTTTCGGCGTTTTGACAAAAAAACTAAAATATCTTCATTAAAAATTATATAAAACTCTCATATATATATTTATGATGATTTTTTTAGTGTTATGATTTGATATTATTTTTTAGTATTATATTTTAATAAAAAATATATAATAGTGTACTTTTTAGATTTAATAATGATTATTAAGCGAAATTCTAATTATTATAAATTTAGTAAATAATTAAAATTATTAAAAATTTAATTACCAAATGATACTAAAAATTTAATTAAAATTATTATAAAAAATTATTTTAAAATAATATTTTTTTATAATTTATATCACAACACAACTGCAACCGCAACGAACCATTTACTTCTAACCGCACCCACCCGCAATTGCTGCCAACAACAGTTTATCAACCAATCAGTACTTATCATTCATAATCGGTTTTGAAAACGCCGTCATCCACAACCGCATCCGCTGCGGTACAACCAGTCGAATTCCTTAGATTCTAAAATGTATTTGAGTTTATGTGGAAATGGATATCTGGGTTATAATATTTTCAGATTCCAGTTATTCATTTTTAGTAAATTTATATCCACTTAGGTTTGAACTTTTTATATTATATTAATTTGGATTAAAATTCTTTTCAATTTTTTTATTTAAAAATATTTATTTTACTAATATGCTTCAGTTTTTCGATTGTTTTATATTCAGTTCACATTTTATTTTATTTTAAAAAAAATATAACATTTCGAATTGTAAACCGGATCCAAATCGATACCGATTAATTATATCTACCGATCAGTTTAGCTATGCAAAAACGAAACGGAATGGGCAAATGCCGACCCCTAATTGCAATTTCATTGAGTTTTTTTTTTTTTTTTGTCGTGGTCAATCGATAAGCTTTGAGGATCTTTTTGATAAAATTAAAATATAAGTAATCTTTCTCCAAATTCACATATTTTGAAGGGTCGATCTGCTAAAGGGGTATCACTCGCACGTGTCAGTATTCCACACGTACCAAATCAGTCCAAGGCCCAACATTGAGGGCTTTTTTTCGCCGGGAAGATGATGATGATGATGATGATGTTCTTCTGAAGAACCAGTGAGGGGAAAAACACATTCTCCATCGCAGATCCTTCGAGAGGCAGGGCGTGAACCTGAGATCATCACACAACTCCATAGCCTAATCCTTCGAAATCGACATAACCATGTGGAGAAGAATCGTCTCCTCTCACCTCAAAACCCTAGCCACTGATGCCTCCGCTGCGTCGTATCTCCGATATGCCGCTGCCGCCAAGCCCGTCAGCTCCTATCTCTCTGCCGATCGAACAGCCATTTTTGCCTCTTCTTCTGTTTTCCGTAGAAGCTTCGGCTCCGAATCAGGTGATAAATCCTTGCTGTAGTTTCTGTTTTCCAGATCTTGCGTTGGGAGCCATTTCTGTGGTAGACTTGGATGAGATTCTCGCCGTATAATCTGCTTTACCATATCGTTTGCGGTAGATGTTTTGGTGTCAGATTTTGACAAATGCGGATGTTGAAAAAGGAAAAATAGATCGGTTTGATGCTTATATTGTCGTTTCTCCTCTCTTTTGAGCCATGGATGACGATGAATGATCGTCGTTACGTTTGTACTCTGCAGGGGAGACCTCCGTGAAGAAGAAGGTGGAGGATGTGATGCCTATCGCTACCGGACATGAGAAAGAAGAGCTTGAGGCTGAGTTGGAGGTGATTGCTTATGTCTCTGTTTATCTCTATGTTTTAATATCGCCATCACAGCAAGGATGCATCATTTAGTGCTATCAGAAGCATCTGGTTTTACTTCACTTGTGTCTTTTCTGGATAAGAAATGTTCTGTTTGATTCTAGAATAACGATGAATCATACAACTCTTTAAATATGCAAAGATGATTATTTTGACCAGAGTAGAGCTCTGGTTCGATATCGCCTTGTGTCGGAAAATTTGTTCTGACATTTCTTTTATGGATGCATTTTACAGGGAAGGAAGTTGCTTGACATCGACTACCCTGAAGGTCCTTTCGGAACAAAGGTTAGTAGTCTACTTTGCAATACAAGAGAGAAATCTGTCTCATTTTTGTATTATGTGACTGAATTTTCAATGCAAAATGTGAACTTTTGTCACTTTTTCTGGCAATGATATCAATTGTGCGTATATTTTCTTAGAACCGATAGACAGGGTAACCGAAACAAGCCTAGCTTAGCGAACCATGCATACACTGCCTAACTCCAGTAGGGTCAATGGATTTTATCTATTTTGTTGGGTTGTTTTCATGATCTCCACCAGCATTAGTCTTTTATGTGATTTAATTCTGGCTAATTTTCTCGGCTATGTTGTTTAACCGGTTCCATCTTTATGTATCCATATACTTCAGACTGAACTGCTTAAGTGAGCAGTGGTTGAATCTTTTATTTTTTTTCCAGTTTATTCTTTAGTCTTGATTCTTGTTAGTCAGTTCTTTCTTTTGCTGTCTCGGATGTGTGATGGATAGTGCCGACTGTAAGGTGTTTTTTATATGCATAAATTTGACTGGCATGTGGTACTAATCTGACGACTGACCTCTAACCGACCACAGTTCATGGTACTTGTATTTATATTGGTGATGATAAAATCTGGTCAATGATGCCCAAATTATTTTTATGTGCAACAATATTGGATTTTGGCCCTTATCTGTTTTCCATTTCTGTGTACCATTAGGAAGCTCCTGCTGTCATTAAGTCGTACTATGACAAGAGAATTGTTGGATGCCCTGGTGGTGAAGGCGGTAAGTCACTTCTCTTCACCCATTCATGGCATTATCTCTGAGATTTCAGTTTTCCAGTCTGATACTCGGGAAATTAGTAACACTTGAGCTTTGATAAATTAAACAACTACACTAAGATTTGCTTGTTCACTCTGTGATGAAAACTGCAGAGGATGAGCATGATGTCGTGTGGTTCTGGCTGGAGAAGGGCAAGCCTTATGAATGCCCAGTGTGCTCACAATACTTCGAGGTAAGTTAAACCGTTACGAATCTGATGGTCCATGAATAAATTGTGTGGAAAGTTTTTATCAATCTTGCATGATTCGATTGAAGAATTCATACTTGAGAGCATGTGAAGTTACCGAATTCGGTTTGACATTTCGCGAAATTTTCCGTATGGCAGCTTGAAGTGGTTGGCCCTGGTGGGCCTCCAGACGGGCACGATGACAACGACGACCATCACTGATTCCCGAGGTTCAATTTTCTTTCTTTCTTTCTCACAAACTTTTCAGATTCAAATAAAAAATTGGTCTAGAACTCGAGACAAATGTTGCTGTTGGTATCATTTTTGTTTCCCGTTGATATTTGCAGCTCTTCGTCTGTAACAAATCAATTGCATTATGAGTTTCCCAATTCTTTCATCCATGTTTCCTTGTCGGGTCGTTCGTTCCACAAAATCTTATAAATGTGTGTATGAGGTTTGATTGTCGTCATTCTTCATCGTGCCCGATGTTTCTCATTGAAAATTGAGAAACCCTTGCATCTTCTTGGACAGTTCAAAATTTTATAGTATCAATTCGGGTCCGGATCTCTTCGGGTTTTGAATCCATCGCTGGAGCCGAACCACTCGAGTACCCGAACTTTAGATATCCAATTTGATACTATTTACCTTTTGTGAAAATAATTCAATTGGGCGTGTGTTTTTGCGCTTGGTGTAGCTTGATAAACTATTATCTTCTGTTACACTATGAATGAAAATTTGTTTTGTTTTCCTAATTTGAAATTTCATATTCGAATAAGTTACTATGTTAATGGGTGGTTTCTATTTTACCCCTTTAAAAAGTTTGAAAGAAATTTACATTTCTGTAAATAGGATATTAAAACAAAAAGGGTCAAAAACAAGAGGAGAGTTACCGCGTGGATAAATATATATATTTTCATATTTTCGGGTATGAACTTTATAAAATATATAAAACAAAATATGCGTTATCTCCACTTCTTGTTTTACTACGAGGTTCGTGCTACATTGAATGATGTTCAAAGTTGGTTTTCCCGTTGCCTTACGATTCCTTCTATACACATTTTTAAAATAAAATATATTAAAAAGGAAAAGAAAAAAAAAGATACCTAAATACATAAGATATACAAGGCTTCGAATTCTTCCTAACGTAAATCCGTAATTGGTTAAGTACTACTAACCAAACCAAACCAACCGAATATTTAAAATTCTATTAAAAAAAAATTAAAACAAAGTTCGAAGGAGAGATGGAGACGAGGAATTCTCGACGTGACATCAATAACCCGGTTATTCAACCCATAAATATAGGTCTAATTTATATGAGTTTTAATTAATTTTTAAAGATCTTATTAATTAATTAATAAACAGGTATATTTTAGTTTCTACCGGATCTAATAAAACTGATCTACCAAAAAATTAGAACATAAAATCTGAGTAAAGACCGTTATAGATTGTAACATATAGTTGCTACAAATCCAAGTCCTTTTAAATATTACTACAAAATCTGGCAGAATACATAAAATTCAAATAAATAAATAAACATTTGTCATGAGGAATGTTTTTGATGTTGTAACGTGAAATGTCAATTTAATCCGACGAACATCGATTAAATTTATGATCTCACCAGTATTTGAATTTTAAAAGAAAATTCATGTTAAAAGGTCCGTTCATTTCTTTCAAAAAAACATCTATTTGCATGTGAAATGCCATTCATTTTTATTTATCTCCACCTATTATAAATATGTGTACATAATGATAGGGAGAAATGGTAACAGGGAAACACAATCCACCACAGCAGTGGCACCATGAACACATTAATATACATAACACAATAAACACTTGTACTTCTATTCACTTCTTATCCCTATAATGTTTTTTTGATAATCAAATATCATAGATCGAATCTCAAATTAATCCTATAGATCGAAAAAAAACTCTGTGTATATTTCTTCCCAAACTTAAAAATTCGAATTCGAGATGGAATAAACGCTAAGTGATCTATTTCACTTAGGAAATATACATTAAGTTTGGATCAGGTCAATAGGATTTGTTATAATAGGAATACAAGTTTGATTTCCGTGATTTTAAAATACTGATTTTGAAGTTAGGGTTTCAAAGTTTGAAAATTCATTCTCGTATTTATATTGATAGAGGTAATAGTTGATATCTAAACTTGAACCTAAAAGTCGGATTCTCGTTATTAATAGACTCGTATTTTTTAAATCATGGATGCATATCCAAAATTTCAGATATTCGATTTAGATATCGATTCTATATTTGTATATCAAATTTTGGATACTCGATTTACATGTCGACCGATTCCAACTTTAAAATATTGTTTGAATAGTTTACATTAAATGGGCATAAAATTAAGACACTTTTATTTTTTATAACATGTAAATCACTCAATTATAAACTTTAGGTATATGAATAATACAAAATGCATGATATCACAATCCAAAATCAAATTTATAATTGAATTATTGGAGTCTAATTTTGAAAATGATGAGAAAAAAAAAATCTACAATTTATTGACAATTTTTCAAGATGCAGAATCCAAATTTTACTAGTAACCATGTATACATATGTACGGTTACATGTATTTTACATTTCAGGATAAGAAATTAATAAGAAAGTTAATTAATTAACGAGTGGAACTCATCCCCTCTTTGACCAAGCAACTTAGTCCTTGAACCCCTCACCTCCACAGAATTTGTTTACCAATCTCCAAAATAAAAGATATCAAATCGCAAATTCAATTGCCAAGTGTCAACCCAAAGATCCATAGATATAGGAGGTTTCCTAAAATACCACTTTTGAAAATTTATATAAATGCTAATGTCTGATTATTGGATTGGACACTCAAATTTCTACATTTACAGAGATATTTTTATTTTATTTTATTATATTCACAATATTTGATAAAACTCACCACACCGGAAAAAAAAAAAAAAGAACAATGTCGTCGACTCAGGAGTTGAGCCACAAGGCCGGAGAGATCACCGGTCAAGCTCAGGTACGGATATGGAATCGATATAGTAATAATATATAAAAATTTGGTATTATTATGTACACTTTTAATTAACTTTCAATATTATATTCCTTAATATAATATTTTATTTCACTATTCTGTAGTTCTAATCCAAATAATGAATAAATGGAAACTAATGAATTTTCTGAATCGAGTGAAGAAAATTTCACATAATGTTAACGCATGTTTTAGTAAAAAAAATATTAAATTTTATTGCTTCCTTCATGTTTTAAATATGAAAATCTGTTTTGTATTACAATCCACCACCATTCTGAATTATTCCTAATTTAGTTACAAAAGTATACATTAATACCCGATATTATGTGGTTATTCCCCACTAATATGTTTTTTTTTGGTATTTTTGAATCATAAAAATACTAAATATTTGGAATTTGCGCTGTGAAAATTATATTTTCTTTGGTCATTAATTTAGACATCATCATGATTTTACTTAGATTTTAATAGGATTATCCATTAATTCTCCAATTATTTTATTTCTTTTTTTTTAACAAAAAATATTCTGAAAAAGAATTATTTTATTTCTTTACTTGATGTTTTGGTTATATATATACACAAATGAATCAGATCAAGAAGGATGAATACGTGAACAAGGCATCAAACGCATTGAACGAAGCATCTCAGAACTCAGAGTCCGATCAGAACAACCCTTCAATCACTTCGCAGGCCTCAAGCTTCCTTCAACAGGCAATTTTCATTCCCTATTTATTTCCTAATTTCAATATATTATAACACATTTTTATTTATATCTATACATACATATATATCTATGTGTGTAGTGGGAAATTTGGCCAGTGGCATAGATCCACGTGTATGTGCACAACATGAAATAACACGTGTCAACTATAACTATAGATACCGACCAAGATCTAAGATGTGCTTTTAAACAGTAATTAATTGTTTTTTAAAATCATATGCTAATACAAGAATTTCTAAAAACATTATAAATAAATATACTAATTTTAAAATTTCATATCATGGTATTTGGTAATCATTTAAAATTATAAGATTTAATTTTATGACGGTTTTCAGCATAATTTAAAAGTTCATTATTTATTTTCATTGTTTTTAAAAAATTCAGGATTTAATATAGGAATTAAAAAAATTATGTATATATTTGAAATTTTTTTTAAAAATCGTATATTTATTTAAGATTTTTTACAAGTACAGGATTTCTCTTTTTTCTGATAATTTTCTTGATTTCTATCCAAAATTAAATTGAACGGTCACGAAATATATAAAATATTTGTAACAATATATGTATTAATTAAATACAGACGGGGGTACAAGTGAAGAGCATGGCACAAGGAGCAGCCGATGCCGTGAAGAACACACTCGGCATGAACTCCGACAACAATACCGGCAATCCGACCACCGGCAGGAACCACCCGACCAACCCTGGTCCTCGCGTTTGAAGAAATACGCAATAATAATAATAATATGTTCTCAAATTAAGATAATAATACAAATTATGGAATTATATAAACTTTCCATGATTTGTAATAGAAAGTAATATTCGATATTCGATCTTGTTTTGGTATTTGTTTATTTGGGACGTGTGGTTTGGGGCATTTCACATGTCTCTCTCTCTTCGTACCCCTTATAAGATTGGTTAATCTTATGAATCTATCAGTTTTTTTATGTCAATATATGATGCTCTCTTTATTTAATTTCTCTTTTTTTCTTCAAAAAAGTATTATTAAATTTGCTTAAAATGGTATTAATTAGACGTTTGGGTATACTAAAGTTAAATTAAGGAAAAATCCCATTTAAATACATCATTTTTGTTATGAGTTTCCAAAATTAATACAAAAAATTTAAAATGTCAAAGAAATTAATGACGCCGTTTATTGTTTAACGTGTAGTTTTTTTTTTGTAAAATTCTATATATTTTTCGAGAATCTTTGGAAAAATTGATTTTAAATGGGAATTGGAAAAATTGGATGTATTTTTATGTAAAATTTAAAATTCGTATATTAGTTTGGAAGTTCAACTATGAGGTTTCAAAAAGCAAATCTCCAAGATATCCAAATTTTGCTAAAATTATTTGTGGATATATCTTTCTCGTGATCATGTGAATAGAATGACAATATGATTATATGGTGTTCATATTAGTCCTAACGCTAATTTTATCATAGTTTCACCAAATGATTAATATGATTTATAACGTGTGATCATGGTGACTTAATCTGGTCACACAAATTTAATGTAACCAATGTGATCATATTATCATTGTAGTCATATTGTAATATCCGAAGAAAAAAGTATGTATATAAATAGTTTTAGAAAAAAGATGGTATTTTAGATAATACCTCGGTTTCAAATTACATGAAATGAACTCATATCCTATTGGATGGTAATCTAATTTCGTTAGAGAATAAGAGATAACAAAAACAGAGAAGCAATCATCTAATAGCTCGCATTACTTCAATTACTTCACAGACTATCACTATATAATTTGTTCTTACAACATCTTATTTTGTATAAAGTATTTATTTCAAACTATTCGACTAGATATAGTATGATATATATATATATATATATTAGAACTATTCTATATTTTGTTTTCATGGTAGCTAATCCCGAATTCTATTCCTTCTTTCGACTATCAAATTCTTTTTCTATTTATTTTCTAATTTCAGCATATGAACTATATTTTCCAAATCAAGTCTTGAAAAACCGTCTTTTGTAACAAAGGGTTTTTAATCTTGCTATCATTATGCCATTCATACTCATCCAAATTTGATCCCAAATCTTATAGAATCAAGATTTCTTCTGAAATTATATTTCTTTAAATTCCTATCCGAATATACCTAGAATGCAACATAACTATAATTTGATCGTAGAATAAACTCATAACCCAATATTTTTTATGTAAAACATATATATATATATATATATACACATATATAAAAGGTGATGATGCATGGATGGGATTACCGATGAGAGAATCGAATCAAGCTCAGTTCCCTTTGTTCTTCTCTCTTTTGCGTTTGCCTTTTCTTTACCCTTCTCCAAGAGAATGGACTCCAGACACATTGCATTCCCCTCTTTCTCTTTTTTTTTTTTTTAATTTTGAAAATTTTCTGAATGTGAAATTTATTTGATTTGTTTATTTTCAAGTGTAATACAATAAAATCAAAAAAAGAAGAAAAATAAAGTGGTGGAGAGAGAAGAAAAGAAAAGATGGTCAAAACGAAAACCTCGAAGACTTATTCCATCGACATCACCCCTCAATTTTTTTTTTTTTATAATTATCTTTATTGAAACTCTCCATTTCTGCCCCTTCCCTTTTGTTTTCCCCTTTATCTTTTTTTCTTTCCTCTTTTTGTGTTTTTTTTTTTTAAATTTGGACATGACATTTTTATGCATTATCATATTTCCTCTCATATTATCCATCAAGATTCAAGACATTATTAGTGCTGAAAACAAATTAGTTTAAATCATTAGTTTTAGTTGATCATTTGTTAATGCTACGTTAATTATAGTATTATTTTAATCTTTTTGAATATCCAGTTCTGTAGGATTCTAAAGCTAACTTAATATCGGTTGTTTTTGGAACGTATATTTTTTTATATAGTAATAAAATTCTCATATAAATTGAAAAAAAAATCGATTTGAAATAAAGAACACATGTTTTTTTTATAAAAATAAGTTTTTAATTTCGAGATATTCGTCATCCTAATATGATATTTAGGGCTTTTGCAAGTGGGTTTAACCCAAAAATTAGAAAAAAATAAGTCTTTAGGATACCTTTGGGAGACCAAAAAAGAAAAATGTTTATGAGACACTCGGCATGCATTTGGTGGAAACTATACATCAAATAAAATATTAAACCAGTGGTGTGGTTAAATTAAAGTTGTTTGCTTAATTATTATCTATGTAAAATATAATATCATCAAAATGATATCTCGTATATATATTGACGTAGACAATGTCGCACACATATAAAAAAGGAAAAGATAAAGTGTAGATAGATGTATTCGTAACGTATAGGAAGATGCCAAACCTACCGTGGCATGCCATGTGTCATGTGTGTGTATATATATATATATATGTGTGTGTGTGTGTATCTTTTGTTACGTTGCCGCTAAGCAAAGGAGGATTTCACTTGTAGCAAATAAAAGTAACAAGAAAAACGTGAATATTCCCAAAAAAAATTCAAAAGCAACACCAATTTTTATTGTGTTATGTTTCTCGGCTGTCGATTCTCTTTGCCCCCTTAAAGTATAATTGAAAGAGACATTACCGAAAAAAAAATATTAACGATTAAACAATATCCTTAATTTATCAATTCCAAGATAGAATACCTAATCAAATTATATACTCAAACAAACAAAATATTTTATGTTTGTATAGCTTCATTTACTGAACCTGTTAGTATTTTAAAATACATAAGAAATGCATAATATATAATCTGAATTAAATCATATACCTTTAATTATCATGTTGTCACACATTAAAGAATAATCGGAACTGAATAAAACATATAATACCTAGAAAATATCATCAGTCTTTATAGAATGTAAATTCTGCTCATTTTCAATTATGCCTAATAAAAAGTTAAAAACCACACATGCATGAATACACATTAATCTCTATACTTAATTGCTGCGTCATTTAAACGTTATAACTTTATTAGATCATATAATTAGTGGAAATATCACAATACATATCTAATTTGATTAGAATATTGATTCATGTAGTTATTCAAAATAATCCCATAGTTTTGTCTTTGTTTTAAGAAAATAGTACACCACAAGTGCCAACACTGAAAAATATGTTATGGATCTCAAGTGAGTCGGTTTGGCTAATCAATTTGAACAAAAAAGTTTGAGAATGTATTAGGGTTTAGAGGTCGATTTCTTCGGTTGTAGAATTATATATATATATATATATATATATATATATGCATGTATATATATATCCAGGGACTTATTATATATAGGTTGAGAATTGGATTCCTTGGCGTTGAAGTATATACCATGTAACTATTATATATCCAATAAATATTTTTAATTTTAAATAGGGCGAAGGGTCCAAAAGGGTATGAGTCAAAGGACTTTGAATTATAATTTTTTTTTATATGAGATTAATTTGATAGTGTATGCCATGTCGTGTCGATAGGTTTACAAGATCTCTCTTTCTTTTGAGGTGGGGCTCCTCTTGAACTGTTGGCTCTCCTTTCGTAGCTCATGATGAGTTCCATGATGTTTTGACCCAATTTCCTCAAGATTCTGTTGGAAATTTCTCTTGTTTAGACAAATATTAATTTGTCACTCATATAAAAACAATTGTAATAGATTGTTTTTCTACATATATATATATATATATATATATATGGGTTGATGTGAATGAATTATGCCTATAACATCCTAGCATAGAGATTATACATATATAGATATTAATAATAGGTATATATATATATATATATATATATATATGATCATCTTGACATATTAATATTGAAAGGGAAAAAAAAAAGGCAAAATCAAAAGGTTACGTGCATGCATACATGCATGATGCATCTCATCCACAAAAGGAAAAAACCTAATAATTAAAGCGAAGCTATGGCCAAAGTAACTCCATTCAAAATTTTCAGGCTTTGGAATCACAGCCGGAATGTTTCACCCGACCCTTTTTTTTTTTTATTATAATTTCTCTTTAATTTATTTTATTGATTTTTTTAATCCCACCTCTTTTTTTCTCTCTCTCTCTTCTTTTATGGAAGGTTGCAAAATAACAAATAGATTTTTTTTTCATAAAAAAAAAATAGAGGCGAGAGCAAATCTCTTTCTCGTGTCCTATATAAAGCCCCTCTCCCTCCTCTGACTCTTTCAGACACCAACGTAATAAAGCCTCGCGGTCTTGTCTTCTTCTTCGCCTCTTTCACTTAACACACAATCTCTCTCTCTCTCTCTCTCTTCCACTTCTATCGAGGGTTAGTTCTTGTTTGGACATTTCAACGGAACTGTTTCATCGCCATCGCTTAAATGGCAGAAACATCATTTTTATGAACAAAGACATAACTCAACGTCCATGCATGCTTTCCAGTCATTTAATTCTTCATTGCATTGGACGTATATCGTAGAGTGGATTCACCTTTAATTGTTTTTCTACATATATATATATATATATATATATATGGGTTGATGTGAATGAATTATGCCTATAACATCCTAGCATAGAGATTATACATATATAGATATTAATAATAGGTATATATATATATATATATATATATATATGATCATCTTGACATATTAATATTGAAAGGGAAAAAAAAAAGGCAAAATCAAAAGGTTACGTGCATGCATACATGCATGATGCATCTCATCCACAAAAGGAAAAAACCTAATAATTAAAGCGAAGCTATGGCCAAAGTAACTCCATTCAAAATTTTCAGGCTTTGGAATCACAGCCGGAATGTTTCACCCGACCCTTTTTTTTTTTTATTATAATTTCTCTTTAATTTATTTTATTGATTTTTTTAATCCCACCTCTTTTTTTCTCTCTCTCTCTTCTTTTATGGAAGGTTGCAAAATAACAAATAGATTTTTTTTTCATAAAAAAAAAATAGAGGCGAGAGCAAATCTCTTTCTCGTGTCCTATATAAAGCCCCTCTCCCTCCTCTGACTCTTTCAGACACCAACGTAATAAAGCCTCGCGGTCTTGTCTTCTTCTTCGCCTCTTTCACTTAACACACAATCTCTCTCTCTCTCTCTCTCTTCCACTTCTATCGAGGGTTAGTTCTTGTTTTCTTGTTATCTCACCTTCTTCTTCTTCTTCTTCTTCTTTTGTCGTTGCATATAATATAGTTTGGTTATTGCTATATTTGTATATCATATAAAGATTTTCCCGTATATTCAATTGAACGCATATGGCATGTGAATAGTCTCTCAAACTCGATAGAACCATCGATCGGTATTAATTGTCTTTTATCATATAATACCCCTTTTTCTCTTTACGATCATATGTTAATATTATATATGTTACGTAAACTCTCCACAGCATTTAGAAAAATGCATATTAATTAAAAAACATTAGGAGACTTAGGAGTTAGGGGCTTAGGAGATATTTAAATCGTTTTTTATTGTTATAAACCGAAACAAAACATTAAGGATAACATAGCTAAAATATAATTGAAATCCATGTTTTAAAACTAACTTATCTTATATACAATATACTGTATAGGCACAATGATATTGTATAGTCGACTCAATTTTTATTCTGTTATCAGAAATATATATAGGATGATATTATACACGTATAATATATATATATATTAACTCGAAACAATTTTTTAATATCAGTTAGAAACAATTATTTTTTTAACCGTGGGTCGAAATAAAGGAAAAGGTTAAAGAAAGATATAGATTTAACCTTTATTTTTTCTTTACAAAATGATGCAGGAAAATATAACTTACATACGCAAAAAAGATCAAAAAACATGAACAGACCGGGAGACTGGAACTGCAGGTCGTGCAGCCATCTCAACTTCCAGCGGCGGGAATCGTGCCAGCGATGCGGTGACTCTCGCTCCTCCGTCGGCGCCGGAGACTTCGGAGGTTACGCCGGCATCAGCGGCGGACGAGCGGCGGCTATGTCGGCGGCGTTAGGGTTCACCACCGGCTCCGACGTCCGTCCAGGTGACTGGTACTGCACGCTCGGCAACTGCGGGACCCACAACTTCGCCAGTCGCTCCTGCTGCTTCAAGTGCGGCGCTTTTAAGGATGACTCCGCCTCCGCCGCTGCCGCCGCCGGAATCTTCGACGGTGACATGATGCGGTCCAGGCTAGCCGGAGGCGGTCGCTCTAGTTGGAAATCCGGCGACTGGATCTGCACCAGGTAATAATATACTTTAATTTTCAACACTATTATATAACATACATAATTATATTTGGAGTTATTTTATTGCCTTTTTCGCACAGAATATCATAAAATAGATGAAATAGTTTTCTGAACAGAACTTATGTAATTCGAGGATACAATGAAAAAAGCGAAATAAAATATATTTAACGCATAAAGTCTAAAATCATGTAAATTTTGTATAATTTCTAATTTTTTAGTCTCCAAACACATGACATAAACAAGTACGCAACATTAATTTGGGTTCATAAATCTAGTGGTTAAATATATTATTAGCAAAGTGAATTACACAAATATCCAACCGAAACAACGAATGGAAAAAGGTGAGTGATTAAGTTAAAATCAAATTAACATTGTTAATTAATATCCATGAGTCTATTGTTGTAATACTCCACATGATTATTATATATGGATCACGGCCCATTTGTCCGTTTCTGTTCATGAGAAAATGATTAGTGATAAGACAAGCTGAACTATGAACATACACATAGATATATACATTATATATATATATATATATGTATATATGTAAAGACGTATGCTTTTTTTTATTACTAAAAATAAATTGTGGGATGGTGACAGATTTGGTTGCAATGAACACAACTTCGCGAGCAGAATGGAATGCTTTAGATGCAGCGCCCCGAGAGACTTCACCAACAGAACCTCCTCCTACTGAGTTCCAATGCCTTTTATGCCATCCATGCATGCCTCCCATTCTTTTGGGTATTTCCATTTATATTTTATATATATATATATATATACACATTATATATACGATAAATCTCATTTTATTTATGTTTTTTTTTAAATTGATATATTTGCAGGCACTGCTTCCATGAAACAGAGGACTTCCATGAAACAGAGGAGGAGGGATCCAAAATGATAAGTTGAATTTTGTTAGATGTTTTCACGAGGACTGATATAGTAACTTTAGCTGTGATCCTTTGGATGTATTATCCATTATTATTATTATTATTATCTTTCTTTTTCTATCATTTTTTCCTTTTTATTATTATTTTTGCTTTATGTTTTTGCTGTTTTTGAGAGTTTTTTTTTATTTAATCATTGTACGCTGCTGCATGCATGGCTTTCTTTAAAGAAGATTCTCTTCACTGTTTCCTCTCTCTCTTTGGTCGCGGGTTGCTTTAGCCACCTCTCCTTTTTCTGCATCTTTTAGTGTATTTCCCAGAAAACAAAAAATAAATTAAGAATAATGTAAATTTTATTTAAATAATGGGAAAATAGCAAAAAAATACACTAATTTGGTTAAAACTGACACATAAATACATCAATTTGTAAACTTGCCGATTAATACATCACATTGCAGTTTTTTGGCAATTTCCAACAAAGACGCTGACGGTAATGTTTGTCGTTAAAAATTGCTGACCTGGATTGTCTCTATCTGCCACGCAGACACCAGATCAGATTATATTGCCACATCAGAACTCGGTTTATCAATTTAAACCGAAATAAATTCACGTGGTTTGGAACATTTAACCTAACAAAACCGAAACCTTTTCTTTTACTGTAGATGTGATATTTCAACACGTGAAAAAGTAAAATATCGAGACACGGTGAAATCGAGAGAGGAAATCGAGAGAGGTCGGTGAAATCGCGATTAGGGTTTCACCGTCGACTTTGTCGGAGGTGTTTCACCGTCGATTTCGGTGGGCTGATAAGGACCTTCCATTTCGTCGGAGAGAAAATCGAGATAGGGTGAAAATCGAGAGAGGGTGAAATCGCGATTAGGGTTTCATTGTCGGAGGTGCTTCGAAAGTCTGTTTCGCTGTGGATTTCATCGGAAGTACTTCGAAAGTTCATTTCGTCTGAGCTGGAAGGTAAGAGATTTCTGGGTTGTGTGTAATGTCCGTCAATGAACGAGATTCGGTTATGTCGTTCTTCGGGTTGTGAGTGCAATCGAACCGAAAGTTTTAAGGGTTTAGTTCCTAAAATGGGAATTAATAGGGGTTCTAAGTGTTTATTATAGAAAACTAATTGATTTGTGTTTTGTTGCAGAATTGAAATTGGAATCTTCAGTGGTTGGAATTGTTGCCGAGAGTATATCAACATGGGGTAAGTTTCATTTAAATGTTGATTAGATTAAGGTAAATTGTGGTTTTTGCTTGATGATGGTGTTATATTATTTTCTCATTTTTTACAGTAAAGTGAAGTTGAATTTCCAGAATTGAAATTGGAATCTACAGTAAAAGAAAAGGTTTCGGTTTTGTTAGGTTAAATGTTCCAAACCGCGTGAATTTATTTCGGTTTAAATTGATAAACCGAGTTCTGATGTGGCAATATAATCTGATCTGGTGTCTGCGTGGCAGATAGAGACAATCCAGGTCAGCAATTTTTAACGACAAACATTACCGTCAGCGTCTTTGTTGGAAATTGCCAAAAAACTGCAATGTGATGTATTAATCGGCAAGTTTACAAATTGATGTATTTATGTGTCAGTTTTAACCAAATTGGTGTATTTTTTTGCTATTTTCCCTTTAAATAAATGATAAGTCAGATCCTTGTGATTCGTAAAAGATTCCCAAATACGACTTATTTTATACTAGATCTATATAAATATACTATCCAAAGTGATGATTTTCTCTGTATACAATATTACACATATCAAAACTTATTGGTAGAGATGGATACGGGTTGAATATTCGAAAAAATTATAGGATATTTAGATTTGTATCCAAAAGTTTTTGATGTCTTATTTTAAAATTTGTATTCAAGATTTACAGTTTACGAGTATTTGGAGTATAAAGATATATTTATAAATATGAATGAATTATGGTAAAAATATGAAACAAGAAAGATAATAAGAGATTAATAATAAATTTAGTTTTTTTTTGAGATAATGCTGAGTAATGTAAAATTATTTAATCTAAAACAATTATATTCTATAAAAATATGAAAAAATGATATTTTTCTATACGAATTTAGAAAATTGTGATTTTTTTATACACGTATTTTTAATTTGACAAAAAACTATATTTGAATTCAAAATTTTTCAAATGTCTACACGAATTGTTAAAATTAACAATAATTAAATATATAATCATAATTTTCGTTAAAATTTTTCAGACTCTGTTAACCAACATGCTGACCGTGTATGGTAGTTATAGTAATTACCTAACTAATATATTAGTTAACAGAATCCGAAAATTTTGAATTCAAATATAGTTTTTTTTTTCTAAATTAAAAATACGTGTATGAAAATGACATATTTTGCTAAATTCGTGTAGGAAAATATTATTTTTCTTAAAAATATTATATAGATGTAGGTATAATTATTCATAACAAAACGGATATCCGTTTTTAAAATTTTCATTATCCGAATTTTGATTTAAAGTTCAATTTTCGGGTATTTGAAGATTTAGATTTAGATTTGGATATAAATAATTAATAGAGATATAGTTTTATTGGTTTAGTAATTTTTCTTTTCGGTTTATGGTTGATTCCGGTTTAGTCTATTTTGGTTTTCTGGTTTGCTGTATAAAACTCAGTTTCCTTTTTATTTTTGAAATATCAAAAAATTGTTCCAAAATTGTTTTGTTTCTTCTCTCTCGAATCTTCTCAGATCTGGAATTGCAAAATGGTATCAGAGCTCTTAATCAAGTTTTTCTTTCATCGATCTTCGTTTTCTTTTCGGTTTTTCTTTTGAATCGCTTGATTTTCTTCTTCGACGATGTCGCATTCTGAGGATTCTGTACCTCAGCATGTTTATGGTACTACTGCGGATTCGGTGTCTGCACTCAATCCGTATTTGAATCCACTTTATCTTCATGCTGCTGATAATATGAGCTTACAGCTCGTAACTTCAAAGCTCGTTGGTGAGTCAAATTACAATGTGTGGTCGCAACTTGTTCGAAAGGCTTTGCGCTCGAAGAACAAGCTCGGATTCATCTATGGAACGGTTCCTAAACCCGTATCCTCGCATCCTACTTACGAGACATGGTGTCGATGTGATGATCTCGTCACTACTTGGATAGGTAACTCTGTGTGATGAGGTTGCCAGTATGATTGTTTATCTGGAATCTGCTAAGGATGTGTGGAGGCATTTAGAGAAAATGTTCAAGTTGAATAATGTTTCTAAGATCTATAATATTCAGCAGCAGTTAGACAGTATTCATCAAGGCTCTATGAGTTTAGCGAATTACTATAATAAGCTAACTTCACTTCTGGAAGAATTGAATAATTTTGAGCCATTTCCTTCTTGTACATGTACTGGATGTACATGTGGTGGATGTACGTGTGATGTGGAACAATGTTGGATAGACTTACTCGATCGTCGAAACATTGTTCATTTTCTGATGAGATTGAATGAGCCTTACAATGCAGCAAGGCGTCAGATCATGATGCTAGAGCCATTGCCGGATTTACCTACAGTTTACAATTTGATAGCTCAAGAGGAGCAACAAATTCAGAATCGGAGTTTTTTGCCTTCTGATCAGGCCGGGTTTCAAGCTTCAACGAATTATGGCAAACAACGTCCTCTAGCGACTTCTACTCAGCCTAATTCGAAGCCTAAACCGAGTTGTACTCACTGTGGCTTAGCTGGACACACAGTGAACAAGTGTTATAAACTGTATGGTTATCCACCAAATTTCAAGCCTCCTGTGCTTTCATCTTCTAATGCTTGGAATCAGCGAGTTTTCAAACCGAGGCAAAGCTTTGATGCTCGTGGAAACAATCCTGTCAACTTGATCAAGGCTTCTACAGATTCATCTCACTCAGTTGATTCTGGTGGTCAAGCAGCTTTGGCACAGGTTCAAGCTCTTTTGTCTCAGTTAACAAATCAGTTTGGTGGTCATAGTTCTGTTTTCAATGAGTCAGGACGTACATCTTCACCCATGCCTAATTCTCCAGGTACTTCTTTTACCTCACTTTCAGTTTTTTCAGCCTTACATTCAGACCTTGCCTTTCCCTCTTCAGTATGGATTGTTGATACTAGTGCTAGTACCCATGTTTGTTGTGTGGAATCTTTGTTTTCAATGATGAGTATCATTCCTACAGCCACAGTCACTCTTCCTACTGGTACAGTTATACCAGTAACTAAGTCAGGCACTATTCATATTTCTCCTTCTCTCATTCTTCATGATGTCTTGTATATTCCATCTTTCAAATTCAATCTTTTAAGTGTTAGTGCCTTGACTAAACACACATCTTATTCTGTGACCTTCACAAATGACTCTTGTTTAATTCAGGACCTTACTCGGGCCTTGACGATTGGCAAGGGTAGTCAAAGTCAGAATCTATACATTTTGCCAGTGTCAAATTCATCTTTGCTGTCTGATCCTTCCTCTTCACTTCTACATTCTACATTCATGGTTTCTGTTGACACTTGGCATAGAAGATTGGGTCATCCTTCTCTTCTTCGGATTCAGTTTGTTGGAAAGCAGTCTCAGTTGGAGTTCATTCCGCTTACTCATGAATCTGATCATTGTTCCATTTGTCCACTTGCTAAACAAAAACACCTTTCTTTTCCACATTTGGGTCATAAGTCCTCATTACCTTTTGAGCTTTTACATATAGATGTGTGAGGACCTTTTCATTTGCCTACAACCATGGGACATAGATATTTTTTTACTATTGTGGATGATTGTACTCGGGTTGTATGGATTTATCTGTTGGTAAATAAAAATGATGTTCTGTTCAAGTTTCCAGAGTTTATAAATATGATTGAAACACAGTTTTCTGCTCATATAAAGTCAGTTCGAAGTGATAATGCTCATGAGCTCAATTTTACAGATTTATTTGCTAAGAAGGGCATTATACATTATCGTTCTTGTCCTTATACGCCTCAACAAAATTCTGTAGTTGAACGTAAACATCAACACGTTTTAAATGTAGCCCGAGATTTGTATTTTCAATCAAACATTCCATTGGTATATTGGGGTGAATGTGTTTTAACTGATGTTTATCTCATAAATCGAACACCGACTCCTGTTTTAAACAACAAGACACCCTTTGAAGTCTTGATGAACACAAAACCTGAGTATGGACATTTAAAAGTTTTTGGATGCTTGTGTTATGTTTCAACACAAGTTAGGGATCGTCATAAGTTTTCACCTCGGGCTAAAGCTGCCGTGTTTCTTGGTTATCCTAGTGGTGTTAAAGGATACAAGGTTTTGGACTTGGAACTAATCAGATTCTGATTTCCCGGAATGTTGTTTTTCATGAGACTGTCTTTCCATTCAAAACTTCTGTTGTTGTTACAGATCATTCTTCATCTTCTAGTTCTTCTTTATCACCTTTCTTTTTGTATGATGATTCTGTCTCAACATCTCCAACTTCACACATTCCTAGTCCTTCTGAGTCTGAAATGTTATCCCCTGTATCTTTAGATTCTTCTGATTCTTTTATCCAACATTCTTCTGATATTGTGACTGTGAATGATGCTGCATCTATTGGGAATTCAGATAGACCACAACGGCTGGTTAAAACACCTACTTATCTTCAAGACTACTATGTTTACATGCTTACCCATTTTGAACCTCCCACAGAAACAGCCGAAACCCCATATCCTTTGTCTTCTGTTATAACCTTTGATTCTTTGTATCCAACCTATAGAAAGTTTGTACTTTCTGTAGCCTCACACCCTGATCCCAAAACCTATAAGCAAGCTGTACAGAATGATCAATGGAAACAAGCTATGCTTTCTGAACTTGATGCGTTAACAAGGACAAAGACTTGGTCTGTTTGTCCATTGCCAGATGGTAAACATCCCATTGGCTGCAAATGGGTGTTTAAAACAAAGTTTAACCCTGATGGTTCCATTGAGAGACATAAAGCAAGGTTAGTAGTTAAGGGTTATACTCAAGTAGAAGGCATTGATTATTTAGAGACATTTAGTCCAATGGCAAAGATGACCACTGTTCGACTCCTTGCATTGTCAGCTTCGCAGAATTGGTTTATACATCAGTTTGATGTATCTAATGCCTTCTTGAATGGAGACTTGTCTGAGAAAATTTTCATGACATTACCTCCAGGTTATGCTGAGCTTAAGGGGGAGTTTATTCCTCCTGGTTATGTTTGCAGATTGCAGAAATCTTTGTATGGCCTCAAGCAGGCATCAAGGCAATGGAACATCAAATTATCTCAGGTGCTGATTGAGGCAGGTTTTATTCAATCTAAGTCTGATCATTCCCTGTTTGTTCTGAAACGGGAAGCTTCTATTGTGGCTGTATTGGTGTATGTTGATGATATCTTGGTTGCTGGTAATTCTGAGTCCTTGATTTCTGATGTTAAATCTGCTTTACATCAGGCTTTTCATACTAAAGATCTGGGTAACTTGCAATATTTCTTAGGGTTGGAAGTTGCTAGATCCAAGTCTGGTATTTCTGTTTGTCAAAGGAAGTACACTCTTGAGTTACTGGAGGAATTTGGCATGCTTGGTTGTAAACCAGCATCCACACCGATGGACTTCAGACATAAACTTTCTTCTGATTCGGGTGAGTTGGTTTCTGATGCTCTGCAGTACAAAAAACTCATTGGTAAGCTGATCTATCTTGGTATTACAAGACCTGACATTTGTTTTGCTGTAAACAAATTAAGTCAGTATATGTCTCAACCTAGATCAGATCATTTGCAAGCTGTTTTTCGAATTCTGAGGATCTTAAAGGTTGCCATTTGCAAGGTTTGCTGTATTCAGCTGCAAATGATACTCGTTTAAGTGCATATTCGGATACGGATTGGGCTGCTTGTCCGGATTCAAGAAGGTTAGTGACTGGCTTTTGAGTTTTTTTTTGGTTCGGCCTTAGTTTCTTAGAAGTCGAAGAAACAGGTCACCATTTCTCGAAGCAGTGCTGAGTCCGAATATAGAGCTGTGGCACATACTACCTCCGAGTTGTTATGGATCTCATCTGTGCTCCATGAGTTGCATGTGGATTTTCCGAAACCTGTGACTTTGTTTTGTGATAGTGTTTCGAAAATTCACATTGCAAATAATGCAGTTTTTCATGAGAGGACCAAGCGTATTGAGTTGGATTGCCACTTTGTGAGAGATCAAATCAAGCTTGGTTTCTTGAAGCCTTTGCATGTGTCCTCAAAGGATCAGTTGGCTGATGTCTTAACTAAACCGGTGTATGTCGAGAACTTCCAGCAGCTTGTTTCCAAGATGGGAGTTCACTCCTTGACCTCTTCATCTTGAGGGGAGTAATAGAGAGATAGTTTTATCGGTTTAGTAATTTTTTTTTTCAGTTTATGGTTGATTCCGGTTTAGTCTATTTTGGTTTTTTGGTTTGATGTAAAAAACTCAGTTTCCTTTTTATTTTTGAAATATCAGAAAATTGTTCCAAAATTGCTTTATTTCTTCTCTTTCGAATTTTCTCAGATCTGGAATTGCAAAAATAATTGTGAATACACTTAAATTGAATATCAGTGGAACGGGATATGATACCCATTTTTATAATATCTGTGCCCAGCCCTCCGAACTATAAAACTTAACGTTGCGAAATTTAAATTATGAGTGATACCAATAACATAAAAACGCAACGATTGACTGATAACATAAAAACGGTGGATATAATTTTCTAAAATTTTAAAAATATATAAACAAAAAAAATAACTGAACCGGAAATTTCAACCGTAATTTTGACAAAACCATCCGTTATACAGTTCCGGTTAACGGTATAATGGGCTCATTATGCCCACTAGAGGGCCCACAAAACCCAATCCAAATCCACCTCCCCACTTGCTTGCTTCGCTGTGCAACACAGACACCACCACTCGTCTTTTTGGTTGTATCATCCCACCAGGGAACGGCAAACAATCGTTCAATCTCAGATTTTGACATCGTCACTCGTGTTCCTCGTTCGTATCGACTTCTGGGTTCTTCAGGAAATTCCCTTCACAATCTGGTTTTGTTGCCGTCGTTCCTTAGAATCTTTGCCTCCCTCCATGGCTTCCTGTAAGTTCACCCTTCCTTTTTGCATCGCTTTATCGTTGTGGCACTTGATTGTTCCGGAGTCTTCGGAGCTCGTGTCCGAGACTGAGATTTCGTTTTCTCGAATTCGATTTCGAATGGTTTGTTCGTTCTCCATTTTTGGTGAATCCTTTTTTTCCCGTCGAGGAATTGTAGAGTTGCTCGAACTTGTGGTTTCTCGTGTAGGATCATCGAAAAGAGGGATTGAATTTGAAGAGTTAGGTGTATTTGTTGTAGAATCAGAGTTCTAATGTCCTTGAGTAGACTTTGCATCGAATAAAAAAAACGAAGCTTCAGTGTAGAATCTTGTCGTTGTGGGTCATCTTTTGTCTCACTGATCTTGAGCAGAACAATTTGGCCCTTGATGTCGAAAGTGTTTCTTTTATGATGGAACAAGTGCTCTGAGGTTAAATCCTGTCGAGGAATCTCTCTCTCTCTCTGCGGCTGGAGAGAGAAGTATTGGTTTCATTTTCATCTCAGTGTACGCTCCATTTCAATATAAAACTTCAAAACCATGAAAGATGATCTAATTTGGCCCTTTTCCTTCTACTTGCTGCATTTGCTTGGATATTGTACAATTGAGGTTTTTTATACGTTCTTACTGCACATTGTTTGTAATCCTCTTTCTTATTTTCGGTATCACTCGCATTTTATTTTCTATTTTTTGCTCTGTAGTTCTTATTTTCGCGCGTGGAAAAGACCAAATTATATTACTTTTCTGTGATATGATTCTGCAGAGGATAAAAAGACACAGAGCGAATCTCTTATTTGAATGCATTATAGATTGTTGGTGCCTGAAAGGTTGGGACTTTTCTTTGATTGAGCATACAAAAGACTTGCCAATTTATAACTTATGATGTGGGCAATCCTATCTTGAACGTACAGATGCGACGTCTTTTTCTTTTCTCGGTTTCCATGCATTGTTTGACTGAGAGCAGAACTCTGTTTCAAGGCATGCTCTGTTTTACTGCTTTTGGGGTATGGGACAGTTTAGGTGAAAGAAGTAATAAGAGTTTTGATAACCTTGTGTCTGTTTCAGGTAGCCTCGGAGTTCCTAAAATTAAAATTTCGGCGATAAACATCAGCAAAGGAAGATCCGGAAACTTATTGATACCGGAGAATCAGAGACCTCGGCTTGAGCAAAAGCCTCTTAAATATGTTGGTCTGAGGACAACTCTGCAGACTGTCAAAGCCGTCAAAGTATCCACTGTTCCAGCGACAGAAGCAGACGGTATTTTTGTCTTTTTCGGGTTTTCTGATGCTCAATCTTTTTTAGGGTCACATTTGTAAACATACAATCTTTTTATTTTCTCTAACAAATTCTTTGAAATCCTTCGTCCTTAAGGTTTGTGAGTGATATATATATATATATATATTTGCTTTCGGCTGACCCCAAATAAACTTGGGAATGAGGCGATGTTGTTGTTGTTGTGTATATATATTTGCTTTATGTACATTATAGATTGTTAGTGCCTGAACTAACAATCCTTTGTCCTTATGTATATATATATATATATTTGCTTTATCATCTCAACTGCCACCCCGATTCATTGTGATCATTCTTCAATTTCGTAATGCCTGTACTTTTCGGAAATGCTTTTCTTGTTTTCTTGTAGAATTTTGTTGTAAACTTATTATGCTAGTTCACCTTGTAGTGACCTCAAGTGTATTACATTTGCATGAAAACATTGAAAAGCATGCATGTTCATCGTTGTGATTAGGGTTAATGTGTGTTAACCTTTCTTCACAACAGCTGCCACAGATGTGGAAGAGGCCAAACCATCTGGATTGTCAAGTCAGCCTATTCCCAAATCTTCCGAGGTGATTTTTTGCTTCGATTTAATACGCTTGTTATTATTCTTGGCTGAAATATCTCTGGTGCATTTCTTTTTTGTGCTTTCATGGTTCATTATCATTTGTTTTCATAGAGAATCAAGCCCTTCTTATAACTTAGGGATTCCCAATCTTTCGACCAGTCGGTCTGAAATGCCGAGAAAATAGCAAGTTAGAAAAGGTATATATTAAAAAGGCTATAAACTAGTACATGCTTTGTGTATAGGTAGAGGAGCTCTGAAAGGTTTCCTGTTGAATTGTGCTCCCTTTTCCTTTGAAGATGTGGATGATGTTTACCGAGGAACAGAGGATGTGTGTTTTATAATTTCTAAATTGCCACAGCTCTTATTGTTGTTGATCCAAGAGGGAGACTGCTTGGCCTCCATGAACTAGGTGGACATGATATATGTGAATCTACTTGTTACTTGCACAAAATGGACATTGTACGATGTTGTTATTCTGATATTTACCATTTTATTTTGTTTTTCCGTCTTCTAGGTGGAAGCTCTTGTTACTGAAATATGCGATTCCACATCAATTGCAGAGTTCGAGCTGAAAGTAAGTCCATACTTACTTCTGGAGTTGCAATGATGTTTTTTGCACGGTATAGGTGTTAAGTCTTTGAATTTTATTTTGAGATTTTATCTAATCTTTCTGTTTCTCCCGTTTTCATACTCTAATAGCTCGGTGGATTCCGCCTTTACGTAGCAAGGAACTTAACTGACAAAAGTAGCCCTCCACCTCCGCCCGTTCTTTCTGCTGTTACAGCTAGTGCGACTACTGAGGAGTTCGATACAAATGGTTCAGCTTCTTCTCCTTCATTGGCTATCACAAAAGCGGTTTCTTCCTCGGGTGGTGGAACAGAGACACTTGTTGACAGAGCTGCCGACGAGGGCTTGGTGATTCTCCAATCACCAAAGGTTAGACACCTAAATGCAATATGCATTCGGTTTATTCTGTTTTTCTATTTTAGTTTCTAATACCCAAATCGGTTTCCATAATTATATCAAGTTTCAATTCAATAACAGGTGCAACAAAGTAGATCCTTACATAAGAGACCGAGAAATCCTTTTTATATTAGTCCATAGTTCAAAACCGATATCATACTGCCAAGTTTTAACTTTCCTCGAAAATGTTGATTAACCACGCAGGTAGGGTTTTTTCGAAGATCAAGGACCATAAAGGGGAAACGAACACCCCCATCTTGTAAAGTGGTACGCATTCTTGAATCTCGAGGATATTGCTGATGGGTTTTTCTCCCCTTTTAAAACCGGGAATTTCGCCTAATTGCGTCCATTTTACAATTTAACAGAAAGACGTAGTGAAAGAGGGTCAAGTTCTGTGCTACATCGAGCAGCTCGGCGGCCAAATCCCGATAGAGGTAACCTCTCTTTCCGGGTTCTGTCATATGGATGGACTAATTCTTCTGTATGATAAAATAAAACCCTTTTCACCATTCATGATTGTTTCTGTTTCATCTTTCACAGTCTGATGTTTCTGGCGAGGTTGTCAAAATACTCAGAGAAGACGGCGGTAAGGCCTTTGGAGTCTCTCCTTTCATCTTCTTTTCTTTCCCAAGTTTTGTCTCAGCCCGAAAATTTCGTCTTACCGACATTTTCCCTGTCTTTTCTTTATCTTATTTTTCGTTCTTTTCAGAGCCCGTAGGATACAACGATGCCCTCATCGCTATCCTTCCATCGTTCCCCGGGATCAAGAAGCTTCAGTAAGTGACTAAGTTCTTTCCATTCCATTACTCGAAAAAAGGGCGAGAGTTTGATTCTAGAGGTATGTTGAGAATTTTCCAAAACCAAGAAATTAGACTTTGTTTATACATTTCCCCTTTTGATTTTCAGACAAATCTGGATTGTCTGTGCATTTTCTTCCGTTTTGACATGGTTCATACATAATATGTTCTTAATCACAGTGATTTATATATATATATATATATGTAAGTTTTCGTCTTCTTGAAAATATGCAATTCTATAAGATGGAATAAAGAAAAATGGCAATATGTAAGCAATTATTTGGATAAACACAAATATATATATATATATGGTAAATGGGTAGAGTCTTATTATTACAATAGAGAAGTGTTGTTTGTACTTCACAACTTTTGGACTTCGTTATTGGCTGATTCGAGCCTTTGGAGCATAAGCCTTTTCCTGAATCTCTCGATGAATGCTTCGGCGCATTCGTTGATGTCTTGTTCCTTCTCCGGATTCCTCGCCGGAATCTTCGCCGGATTCTTTGCCGGTCGTTTTCTGACCACCTTCAGCTCGTACGTTGGCGAGGTCTGAGGAGGAGGGGACATGATTGCACAAAAACCCTCTTTCAAACAGATCTTTTACGTCGTTTTCCGTTCTTGTTTTGCTCTATGCACACAACAGAGACATACCCTCATATGTATATATATACACGCACACATGCATATATATATATATATATTCTGTATATGTATGCATATGTAATGTATGTATGTATGTATGTATAGACGTCCCATGAACAGGAAAAAAAGATGAGTTCCATATTCATTGAACATGGATGTGTATAGAATATGCTTTTGGGTTAAGATAATCATTAAATAGTGATAAAAACATTAGTCATTAGATACGAATATGGTTGTTTAGATTAAGATTTACCCACGTTGGTTTTCTCCAAAGATCTCTCCTATGTTTTTGTCTTTTCCACGTTACTTGTATTCCTATGTATCCTCTAAAATTTCATATTCCCCACAAATTTTCTTCTCAATTCTTATACCAATTTTTCATTTTTATAAGAACTTATATAAAAATTTAATTTTTTTTTTAAAATCCCGTAGTAAATCAAAGAATGTGTTGCAATATCCTATATAGCCTCAAACTTACACTAAATCATTTAAATCATAGAGATGCAAATATTTTAAATCAAAATCGATTAAGTCAATGAAATCTTTAAACTTAAATTCCTAAAATCAAAGCAAACCCAAAATCTCGAAATTCTATGGTTATGTGAAAAATTACAATACATTTTGCGATTTCTAGTGTGAAATTTTAAAAAAATCTAAATTTCTATATAATTTTTTTTTTATCAAATTCAAAACTGATATAAAAATTGAAAATATTAAAAAAATTCGTGGATAATATGAAATTTTTTATAGAACTTTGTTTCAAACCATCTTGAACGATAATATTGATATATTTTATTTGTTAAATCATTTTTTGTGCGAAAAGATCTTTGTAGGTAACACGAACTACTGCTTCTATATGGCTGTGCGTACACGTGTTATTTTATGCAGTTCGTTATATACTTATATATGTGATAAATTTGAAGTTTCCAAATATATATATATATATATATATATATATATATATGATAATTTGAAGTTTCCAGACAAAGTTTTCGCCGCGTGGTGAATAGATAGATACACTAAGCAGCCAGAAAAAGGTATTGCCTAACCATAGTTGGTCCACAGCTTTAGCCGTACGAATCCTTTTATTTTTATAATTAGTATATATATTGATAACCTTTTTTTTATAATTATTATATATATATATATATGTATGTATGTACGTACGTACGTTATTTTTAATGAAAAAAGCAATGACTTATTGGGCTTTTCCATAACCATACTAATTCACAAAAGGCCTAATATTCCATAAAAGCCCAATGCCACAAAGCTTTAGTTACGGACCAGATTTTTTTCGCGCCCTGATTAGACGGCAGAGCTCGGCCATGGCGATCAGAGCATTCTCTTGCAGAACCAGAAACACATTGTCTTCGTCTGTCTTACGCGCTCTCCAAAACTCTAGACCTCAACACATTCGTCTCTTCTGTTGTGTCCTGCGAGACCCACCATCTCTCGTAAACGAGATCTCCCGCGTTCTCAGCGATCATCGGAATCCCCAGGACGATCTCGAGCACGCTCTTCACCCCTATTCTTCGAGGTTCTCATCGAATCTGGTCGAACAGGTCCTGAAGCGCTGCAAGAATCTGGGATTTTCCGCTCACAGATTCTTTCTCTGGGCACGTCGAATCCCAGATTTCGAACATAGTTTGGAAAGTTGCCATATTTTGGTGGAGATTCTCGGCAGTAGCAAGCAATTCGCTTTGCTGTGGGACTTTTTGTTAGAAGCGAGAGAGTATAACTATTTTGAGATAACTCCGAAGTTTTTCTGGATTGTTTTCAGGGCGTATAGCAGAGCTAACTTACCCAGTGAAGCGATTCGAGCGTTTAATCGGATGGTTGAATTCGGGATCAAACCTACTGTTAATGATCTCGACCAGTTATTGCATTCGCTTTGCGATCGGAGACATGTAAAGCATGCCCATGAATTCTTCGACAAAGTGAAACATGGGTTTGAACCGAGCGCGAAAAGTTATAGCATTTTGGTCCGAGGTCTCGGAAATGTTCGAGATGCTCCGTGGGCACGCAAGGTGTTCGATGAAATGCTCGAGAGAGGTTGTCCGATTGATTTGCTCGCTTATAACAGCCTTTTACATACATTGTGCAGATCTGGTGATGTTTCTGGGGCGTACACGATGTTTCAGGAGATGGGCAAACTCGGATTTAGACCCGACGCTTATAGTTACTCGATATTCATCCGCGCATACTGCGATGCCAATGATATCCACTCGGTCTTTAGGGTTCTTGATCGGATGAAAAGATATGATCTTGTCCCTAATGTGTTCACATACAACCACATCGTCAAGACCCTTTGCCAGAACGAGAAAGTAGACGACGCTTATTCACTACTAGACGAGATGACAGAGAAAGGGGCTATCCCCGATACATGGACTTACAACTCGATAATGTCATACCACTGCGAACACTGCGAGGTGAATCAGGCAACGAAGCTGATATCGAGAATGGAGAAACACAAGTGTTCTCCTGACAAGCACACTTACAACATGCTGCTCAAGTTGCTTATACGCATTGGGAGATTTGACAGAGCCACGGAGATATGGGAAGGAATGGGGGAGAAAGGATTTTACCCTTCGGTCGGAACTTACTCGGTGATGGTTCATGGATTGGTGAGGAAGAAAGGGAAGTTAGAGGAAGCTTGTAAGTACTTTGAGACGATGATCGATGAGGGAATTCCGCCTTATGGAGAAACGGTTGAGATGATGAGGAAAAGGTTGGTGGGGAGGGGATTGATGGAGGTTGTGGATGTGTTGGCGGGGAAGATGGAAAGGAGCAGTTCTTGTTCCATCAGAGAAATGGCGAAGGAGATGAGAGGGAAAAGATCGAGCAGTGGACTGAGAAATGAAGAAGATGATTCAGAGTTTGAAAGAGAGAGTCATCTTCTCTGACAATATCCGACACATCTGTAGTGCAAGTTGTTTGGTCTCTTGCTCAAGGAGTGTGTTTGTTTACAAGTCTGTTTTTTAGCACCATTATGCAAATTCATTGTTTTTTTGGATATACATTGGATAAATAATCAAATGTATGCAAACATTATATTTAGATTGTTAGAAGTAATAGACGTTAATTGGATTATCCAATAATTTTAGATGCTAATAATTTTTTCAACTATTGATCAAATTGTTTATAATAGAAAAAGAGCTAATTAAAAAGAGTATATAATTATACAATCTCTTAGTTAATTATAGATAACATGTTACCATCAATCAAATAGATTTTGTTTAACTAAATTAATAGTATTAATTAGGAATGCTAATGTTTAATTATGACATCGAATTTGTAATGAAATAATGTAATAAAAGATTGTGTTCCGAGGCAAAGGAGGAACAAAGGTTATTTTCGTATAAATTGTTACAAAATAGAAAAAACTATATGAACAAATAAAGATTGGTAAAAAAAAAAACTTTAAAGTTCATCTATTTTTAAATCAATGGTGACAACAATGTATGAAAATAGTTTATTTGGTTGGTTACTGATTATTAATTTAAATCATTTGAAAGGAAGTTTAAAAAAATATGACAGGAAAAAATATAAATATCGTATGTAAGTTTAAGGATTTTATATTATTAAAATAAAACTTGAAATTTTAGAAGATCTGAAAATTGTTAAAAAAAGTATAACAAAAAGGGCAGTTGATTAAATACTAAATATGACAAAACTTATTAATATAAACAAGGGAAAATCACTCTAAAATATTTATATTTTTCTCTGATCTCAATTTAATATATATTTTTTTTAATTACTAAATAATATATGTATAATTTATTTTTTCAAAAACAAATCACATATTTTTAAATTATTGGCCAAAAAATCTTTACCGATAAATAACCGCCATGTAGACAAATAGAACAAATTTTTTTTAACATCTCTCCTAATCATTACCATACCAAAAATTAAATAAAAAATTAATTAATAATAAAAAATTAATAAAATAAAAAATTAAATAATAAAAATATACATACACATACACATATACAAACATACATGTACATATACGTATATAAATATACACATACACGCATATATATACATACACATAACACACACATATATTTATACATCAATACATATATATACATATACATACATACATACATATACTTATATACATACATATATATAAATGCATATATACATGTATATATATAAATATACATATATACACATACATACATATAAATACACACATATATATATATATCAATATATATATATATACATACACATATATACATATACATACATACATATATATATATACACATATATATATATATGCATATATACACATACAGATATATAAATACACACATATATATATCAATACATATATATGCATACACATATATACATATATGTACATACATATACATATACACATATATATATGCATATATACACATATACATACATATGATATAAACACATATATATCAATACATATACATACATACATATAAATACATACACAAAAAAAATATATATATATATATATATATATATATATATATATATATATATATATATATATATATATGCATACACATATATATACACATATATATATGTACAGTTCATATTGATTTTTCATTTGGCAGAAGAGGAGACATGAGAAGCAGAGAGGAGCTTGGCAACCTATATATGCATATACATATATATACACATATATATAGATTTACATACATATACAACACATACACATACATATATATACATATACACTTATATATAGATATACATACATATACAACATATATACATACATGTATATACATATATATACAACACATACACATACATACATACTACATATATATACATACATATAAATACATGCATAAATATATATATATATATATATATATATATATATATATATGTAGTATGTATGTATGTGTATGTGTTGTATATATATGTATATACATGTATGTATATATGTTGTATATGTATGTATATCTATATATAAGTGTATATGTATATATATGTATGTGTATGTGTTGTATATGTATGTAAATCTATATATATGTGTATATATATGTATGTGTATGTGTTGTTTATGTATGCATATCTATACATATGTATATATATGTGTGTTCATATGTATGTATATATATGTATATATGTGTGTATGTGTATATTTATATACGTATGTATATGTACATGTATGTATGTATGTATATGTGTATGTGTATGTATATGTATATTTTTATCATTTATTTATTTTTATTTTATTTTTTATTATTAATTAATTTATTATTTATTAATTTTTTATTTAATTTCTGAGGGGTGGTGATTAGAAGAGATGTTGAAAATTTTTGACGCCACGTAGGATTTCTGTTTGTCTACGTGACGGTTATTTGACGGTAGATATTTTTTTACCAATAATTTAAAAGTATATGATTTGTTTCAAGATAAATCAATTGTACATATATTATTCAGTAATTAAAAAAATATAGGTATTAAATTGAGAATGGAGAAGTATAAGTATTTTACCGCGATTCTCGCTATAAACAATAATTTGTAGTTTCATAGAGATTTTTAAAAAAAATGCTAAAAGAATGAAATTTAAGAGAAACATATAAATACAAAGTTCTGTGGAGATGATTTGCTTCCTCCGAACTGAATAGAGTTGCAGATCGAAATTAGGGCAAACATCAAATGATCGCATTTCTGGTGAAGCCCCTTTTCGTCGTTGTCTTGATATTCTCTCTCCTCCTCGTCGTTATTCTTCTCTCTCTGTCTCCACAGTTCTCGCGATCCCAGTCCCTTCGGATTCGTCGGTGTAAGTTATTGTTTCCGGCGTAGATTTCACGTGTTGCGTTATTCTTGTTTCTCGAGAAAATGAAGTAAATGGAACCAAAAAACGGAAAATTTTCAGATATCTGGAGGATATGCTTTAGTGGGTATCATTTGGTTGATGAGTTTTATTAATTGGGATCTTGTTAGATGTGTATTGCCACTAAAGGGTGATTTCTAGTTTGTGGAAACTTTTTAGTCTTTCTCCAAGCCTTTTTTTTTTTAACAAAGGTTGTATGTATTAAAACCTTAAAAAGAGTTACATAGTTTCACTGTGACATCAGCAGTAGCAAAAAAGAGTGCATACTACACAATGAACCACATAGGACAATAGAAACCAAGAAGAGAACAGGAAGAACAATAAGTTCTTAGTAGAATACCGTTGAGAACCAATGTTGAATACACTGGCCCGCGAATAGCGGAGTAATTGGACGAAGTCCTGCGATCCTGGTTCGAAAGACTCGGCCAGTTTCCCTAATCAGGTGCGCCGAGTCTAAATAGGCTTTCCGGTGAAACCTGTTGTTCCTTTCTTTCCACAGGAGATAAGCCACAATCTGCCACACTAAAACTGCAGTCCATTTCAAGGAACTGCACCCACGGATGGAGAGAAGTACCTGTATAACAGTCTGCCAAGAGTAACAATCCACTATATTAACCAGCTTCCCTAAAGTTTCTGCCAATACCGCATGCGAGTATAGACATAGAAAGAAGATATGATCTCTAGTTTCCACCTCGGACTGACAGAACAAATATTTTGGGTCAATATCAATACCCATGTCATTCTCGAGTCTTTCACAAGAAAGGTTTGAAATTCTATCTGTGTTAGTGCTAAACATTGACGATTAAGTTTGGTTATATCAAGAGATGTTTCATGCAAATACGGTTTTACCATTCTTCAGCCAAAAAAAAAGTTTTTTTTTGGTTTTGATCATACTGCAGAAGAACATGTGTATGGAGTGTCAAGAGGATAGCAGAATGGAGACCCTGCAAATGGTGGTTAGAGGGGCACTTGATGCGTATGAGTTCTTTTTCTTCTTTCTGTTCGATGTTTCATTGTTGTTAAGATGAGTTTTTCAGAAGTTTTGAGTTGAGGATTCTCTTTAGTTTTGCTTAGTTAGAGACTCTGTGATGAATCCGATGCACCATTCTTCTCGTTAAGTTGCATTAGTTTCAGAATCAAGATCGAAATTGTTTGTTTACTGAGAAACCTCTAAGAAACAGAGGGGAAAAGCATATAAAAGAACGGAGGGAGTTTTAGAATTTTTTCTGATATTTCACTTTGAACGATAAACTGTTCACTAAAACCATGATTTTTCCTTGATAACTAGAGATGATAGTTTCAGATTTTGTTCTTGTGAAGACAGGGAAACTAGATTTCTTTAAAACCATGATTTTCTCTTGATGGTCTTGTCGAGATAGTCATTTGTTTGCTAGGAAGCCTCTACTACTGGTGCTATTAACAATCTTGGGTTTGATTTTGATAAAACTGAACTTTTCAGTTTGAAGCTTTCAGAAGAATGAAATATAGTAGATCACTGTGATAGATAAGAGGTGGATTGTCTGTAACGGGTTGACGTTCTCTTTTCGATTTGTTTTTATATAATCTGAGTCTAATTTTTGATCGACCGTTATTGCAGACAGCTGCTTTGGTTTTTTGTTCAAATCCTGCAGCTCTACCAGCGGGAAGTAACGGATACACCCACATAGATTGTTATGGTGGCCTCAATCAGATGAGACGCAACGTAAGTTTGAAACAAATGATCCATCATCTCCTCACTGCATTGGATCTTGAAATTTCAATTTTTGTCCACATTATCATCATTTTAATCATGAATTTGATTCATTGCAGTTGTGTGACGGTGTTGGAATTGCTCGTTTGTTAAATGAACTCTTGTTTCGCCGAAGTTCGAGATGGTTGTATATTGGAATGAGTCGGGGTGATATATGGAATTCTTTTGCTAAACAATTCCGGCTCTGTTCTGCTCATTTGTGTTGGAGCTAAATTTGATGTTGACCACTTCTTCGAAAAGATGAGCCACCAGACATCGCTTCGAAAGAACCCTTTAGAGTAGATTATAGCAAAAGGAAAGGCCAGTTTGATTACATCGAAAGCGTTCTTCCGTCACTTTTGGAACATCGTTATATTTCAATCACACCCGCAATGAGCCAACGGAGAGACAAGTCCCCTCTCTTACAACGAAATTTGAATTTGTCTGAAGTCTCTGTCTTTACTACGAGTTTCTCGTTTCTAACCTT